GATGAAGATCAGGATGATGATAGGAGGAGGAGGAGAAGGAGGAGGAGGAGGAGGAGGATCATGAGGGAAAACGGCATGAACGAGGTGTCCGCGGGGAGACGAGGAACACGATGTTGATGACGACGAGGATGATGACGATGCTGAGACTGATGCTGCTGATGGCGCGGATGATAATACGAATGATGATGCTGATGATGACGATGCTGACGAGAGACCCATGGTCACCCAGGTGATATTGATCATCTCTCTCTCCAACTTCCCTCTCACCAATTTGGCTACTCGTTCTTCCCTGACAGTGCAGGCACTGGTGGCGTGATTACGGCTATCAGTAAAGTGTTCGCGCGGAACTTTTCCTCGATTGTCCATCGGTCGCTGATCGACGGCAGAGTGCTTCTGACTGAGATGAGGGGCCCTCACGGCCAGTGTAACATTGTCAACGTTCACATGCCCAACACGTCTGATAGTATTCGGATATATAGATCTGTGCTTCGCGTTCTCCGCCGTGAGGTTCCGCTGTCAGCTGAGCACTTTACTATTCTACTGGGGGATTGGAATTTTACTCTGGAAGATGAGGGCCGTCAATATGCTTATGGTGGTTTATGGAGCCCAGGGGACCGTAGTCATGCACAGGCGTTCAACAACAACCTCCCTGACCTCATTGAATTTGACCAGGAAATGGACACACGGAGGGCTCTGGTTGATAGTGTGATTGACCACACGGCGCGGCTAGACCGCATCTACTGCTCGCTGCCCAGTGCCATTCCTGCAGATATGACGATCACGACGTCTACGGTAGGCCGTCTTAAAATCGACATGCCCTCGGATCACATCCCCGTCGTTTCGCATATCTCGATGTGCAACCCTGACAAGTCTGAGTGCAAGAATATCCCGCTGTGGCTTGCGAAGTCGCCCGAGTTTGCTGATGAGCTGGATAGGCTCTTGAGCACTCCTCCTTCTGATGATGGGAGCGCTGTGCGTCTTGCTTGGGCCAAAGAATGTATGCACTCGGCTGCAGCACGTGCTCGACGACGCATTAAGCATCGAGTCGCCTGCACCTATGAGGAGTGTCATCATTGGTCCATGGCTGCTCTCCGTGGCCTCCGTCTCCAGAATATTAAGATGATTGATAACGCATTGGTTTGTTATCCCAAGCTTACTGATTTTATTGATGACACTACTCTTGAATGTGCTGACCTTTTCCCCCTCTGCCAACATGTACGTGAGCTGTGCATGAAGATGCTTGATGCTGAAACCTTAGAGATTGAGGACCTGCCCTTGGATGACTTTCAGCGGCAGAAGGAGGAAAGGAATATCGCTCGCCGTCGTACGTTCTGGCAGCAGTTTCGTCGGCGAACTTGGCTCCAAGGAGTGGTTGACGAATATCACAACCCTTACCCCTCCCCAGAGGCCTCTGCTGAGGCCCTGCGGCTTCACTGGGGTGAAGTCTTCTGCGAGCAGCAGGAAGACCGCTCTCGGTGGCCCGAGTTACTGTCTTTTGTCCAACAGGTGCCTGTAGGAGCGAATGTGTCTTGGGAAGTGGACTATGAGGTGTTCTTCGGGGACATTATTAAGACTCGTAAGCACAGTATGCCTGGGCCTGATGGGATTCCTTACTTCTGCTGGCGCCTTGGAGATGCCCCTCGATTTCTGTTTGACTTCTATCGGGACTTTGTTTCTGGTCAGGTCTCTGCTCTACCTCGGGACATGTTGGAAGTTCTGATGGTTTTTTCTGCCGAAGGGGGACTCGAGAGACGATGTGGGGCCTAATGTTTTTAGGACCGCGGAAAACACACGTCCACTTTCCATGGCCAACACTGACGCCAAGATACTGAGTTCGTGCATGTGCAGACCGCTGAATGAAGTTGCTCAGCAGACTATTTCTCTTTCGCAAGCTTGTCTTCATGGTCGCAGCATGGCTGCGCATATTGTCCGTGCTGAAGCTTGGGCACTGTCTGAACATGTGCTCGACCAAGATGATAGCTCGATGGTCCTGACGGACTACTCTGCCGCCTTCCCCTCTCTCTCTCTCGATTGAATGGTTCTTGGCTGTTTCGGAGGCGATGGGGATCCCGAGCTTTATCGTCCAGTTTTATCGTTTGTTTTTCACTGACAACACTGCTCTGATCTCGGTTCTGGGCAAAGTGCACGCGTCGATTGATATATCTAGAGGTGTGCGGCAAGGGGGTCCCGCATCTATGGTTCTCTTCTGCCTGGGCACGGCTCCGCTTCAGGTATATATAAGTAAATGCTGCTGGCAGTGTATGCACCTCAAGCTTGAATATGCTGATGATTGTTTGTATGGCATCCGCGACACCCTTTCGACACCTGCGGCGCCTCTTCCGTGTTATCATGGCTTTGGAGTCGGCAGTGGGACTGGCGTTGAACCTGCGCAAGTGCATTGTGCTGGTCCAATCGGCTGTGTTCCAGACTAGGCTGCAGCAGTATATCCTTGAGCAGTGCCCTGAGCTCTCTCAGATTCAGGTTGTGCGCTCGTGTAAGTACCTCGGCATGATGATTGGTGTATCTGCCCACGAATGCTACTGGTCGAAACCGGTGGCGAAGTTTGCTCCGCGGGTGAGAGAGGTGCGCCAGGCTGGTCTAACTCTTGCGAAGAACATCCCGACTTTCAACACTTTATGTCTTAGCATACTATTCTGTGTCATGCAGTTCGCACCTCTCTCTAGGTGGGTGATTGCAGCGCATAAGAATGCCTTGCAGCTCTTAGTGGTGGGGCCGCGTTTTAGTTTCAACTACGGGATGCTGACGAATATGACCTCCCTGGGGTTCTCTGGTCAGTTTAAAAACCTGGAGGCGGTGTCTCGGGCTACGAAGTTCCGACTGGTCTCGAAGTGCTCGGAGATTCTTGGGATTCTTGAGGATCTGGAAAAGACTTTTGCTTCCGATGATGCCTGTATTGTCAGAACTATGTCTGGTTGGGCCAGTGTTAGCTTCGCCCCTGCCCTGCTTGCGACTTTCAGAAGTGTTCGCGGTACCTTGTCCTGCTCGCCTCTTCGGGGATACCTGACGAGGGCAAGAGCTTCCAGGCAGCCGTCTACCGCACGATTGCTGCATCGCCTGAATTTGCACATGATGCGAAGCAGGACTTGATGATCAGGACGAGGAGGTGGTTGAATGAGCTTCCCGAGGGCGCCGCGATTCAAGTTTCGAAAGCTGTGAAGTTTGTTGTCAAGAAGACTGGGCCCTACATGGGCCTGACTTTTCTCCGTGTGCTTGCCCGGGGTTTGAACACGTCGGCCAGATTTCACACTCAGTCGCACGGTTGCCTGTTTGGATGCTGTTCAGACTCCTTCGACCCTGCCCTCTCTGACCTCGATGATATTGCCCATTATGCGAGATGCTCCAGATTCTATTGGACATGTGAACATTGGCTCGGAGAACTGATGCCTCCCTTCTCGGAATCCCCTCCTTGGCGGTCCGCTCTGCTCCCCGCGTCCCTGCGTCCTCGCGCGGTGCTACTCCTTTCGGCTGCTATAATTGACGCATTTATGTTTGCTCACAACTGTCGTCGTCACCTTGTCTCTTCTGGCAGCGTGTCTCAGCAGATACATGCCCGCATGCGGGCCACAGCGCGCAGGCGCAGGTCTGTTGCTGAAGCCTGGCGTGTTGAGAGACGGGCGCGGTTGCTTTTCGAGGCCCCCCCTTGAACCCTGTCGAAGCATCTCTCGGTGACGGGGGTGGGGCCCTGGACTTTTATCTACGGATGGCTTGGACGTTCGATAGTGCCCTCTTCTCTCCAGAGACCTGGTGCGACTCCCGCGCCTGGGCTCCGACAGTTGGCGGGGGTGGGGGGGGGGGGCTCCGCGCGGGGGAGCGCGGCTGTCTCGCGCCCTGCCTGTCGTTCGACAGGCAGACGCTCCTCACGGACAGTGGGCCCCCCCCCCCTCGCCACGGTGTCCTCGGACTGCTCGACCAAGGAGTCGACCGCCTTCAATTGGGGCCCCCTGGAGCACCCTGAGCCCTTTGGGTCCAAACAAAAAAAATATGATGCTGATGATGACGATGCTGACGATGATGATGGTGATGCGGATGTTTATGCGGATGCTGGTGATGATGATGATGATGATGGTTATGCTGATGATGATGATGGTGATGATGACGCTGATGATGATGACGATGATGACGGTGATGATGACGACGACGATGGTGATGATGACGATGATGATGATGGTGGTGATGATGATGATCATGAATATGATTGTGGTTTTGGCCGACGATGGCCCCAATGATGAAATATGATGCCCAGCAGGGTCTCGAATCCCTCTTGAGTCTTTATTGGGCCTTCCTTGGAGCCTTCTTCGGTCCCTCTTGGAGACCCCAAGGGAGGCTTTCTCGAGCCTTAAGGGAATTCCAAGAATGTTCCCACAGGGCTTTCGCAGGCCCCAAGAGGCCCCAAGAGAACTCCAAGGTCGCCCCAAGGGGGCTTCATGAGAGCCCTTGGAAATCCGAACTACTTGGGAAAACAGTACCGCGCGTTTCCGAAATAGTTCGGGCCCTCTGGAGGCTTTTTGGGGAGCCCCCTTGAGGTCTTCTCATGCCTTAAGTGGATTCCACGAGGGCTCCCAGAGGGATTTCGCAGGCCCCAAGAAGTTCCAAGAGGCTTCAAGAGGGCTCCAGAATGACCCCAAGAGCGCCCCCAGGGGGCCCCAGGTGGTTCCAAGAGAGCTCGGGAAGCTCGAAGTTACTATGGGGAAGCACTGCCGCGCTTTCCCGGAATAGTTTGGGCCATCATGAGGCTCTCTTGGGGCTCTCTTGGGGCCTCTGTAGGACCCTCAGGGTCCGGACCCCCCCCCGGAAGCCGCAGCCCTTTCCAAAAACAAATGGCAATCGCCATTGCGATGCGTCGTTTGTCGCTCGCTTCATCGGCTCAAGATGTTAGCAAACGTGGCTCGGCATTGCCGGCCTGTTTTGACTTCTCTGCTCTCTCCCTGATCGTGGATCAGCATTGCTGTCCTGTGATCTCTCTGTCACACTTCGTCGTCATGGCCGCCGACGACCAGCGCGCTGCTGCCACTCAGCCCATGAGTCAATTTTCAGCTGATTTGGGTGACTCTATCATGCAGGGTGCTGTGCCGCCTTCTCCAATCGAGCGCGGCGGGTCTCCGGGCGAGCTCGGCGGCGACATGCGCACCCACGTCATCGCCATTTCGACCAACGCGCCCGCTGGCCCGCCGCATGTTCCAGCCGATACTGTTGGGGTGGTGCCTGCCGACGAGCTGTGTCTGTATCACTGTTGCAATGCTGCCGCGGATATGCATTCGTGGTTGCGCGGCAGACATGCGCCTGGTTACGCAGAAGATAGGGGCAGAGTTTGCGCAGACGAAGCGCGCGCCAAGCAGCTCCGGGATCGCATCGCGCAGATGGCGCGGGACGCAGGAGACGAAGCCACTGCTGCCAGATTGCTGAAGACCGGGCGAGAAGCTCACGCGGGCTTTGATGAAATAAAATATTTCTGCGAGGTCCCGGGCGGCCAGATCGTCGTCGAGCACTACGAGGACACGAAGCACTCTGTTCAGAGCGTTTATGGTAACGGCCCTTTGAGAGCGCTCTTTCGGCTTCACACGCAGTCCTCTGAGGATGGGCACGAGGTCGATCATTGGTCGTGCCTGCAGAGTTGGATTCCGCGAGTTCCAGAAGTCGCCGCGCGCGCGAGCAAGCCCGAGGATGCGCCCGCCGATCCCGTCGGCGACAGCAGCTCCCTACAGCGACGGTTGAAACTCCCAGGCGCAGCTACATGCAGTGCGGAATTCGACGAGTTCACGATGGAGGTAGACAGCGAGCGGAGCTGGCTGGAAAGTTTAACGGCAGACCCTGAGCCGCCTGCTCAGAGCATGTTCGTGCAGACGGAGGCGGTGAAAGCATTCATAGAGAAGAAGCACGCCTCATGGGATCCGTACCTGAAGCGGATTGCCCTTGGGGCGCTAGCCATGTATCGATGTCGACTATCCGATATCTACGTTCGAGAGTATGTCATGATGATGCACATCATACTTGGCGGTGACTACCTCGTCGCCCACGACGGGGTCATGTATTTTTGGAGCGGGAATACAAGGTTCTTCGAGAAGTACGAGGGTCTCATGCCAGAGATTGTGTATGCTGCCCTGAAGGAGTACCTCTTGACTTTGGAAGGGCTTTTCCGGTCCTTCACTGGCGAGGTTCGGCGGGATGACGAGGCCGCGATGTCCGCGATCGAGGGGTCTTTGGAGAAGAGCGGGCCCGAGGCTCGGAAGGCGTTCGCCGCGTGGCGCGACAACGCCATCTTCAACAGAGGAGGCAAGGGCGGCGGCAAGGGCGGCGGCATGGGGGGCGCGGGGGAATCTGCCGCAGAATTCGATGCTCTCTCGCAGATAGAGGCGCAAGTGCTGGATGGCGATGCGCACGCGCCGGCAGACGACAGCTCCGCGCGCAGTGCGCCGTGGTATCTCACGATCGCAGTGAGCGTTGCTCGAGTTGGGCGAAGCTTACAGATCCAGATGATTCAGAACAAGTTGCCGTCGTTTTACTGCGAATGGTGCGAGACTCCGCGCCCCTCGCTCAGGGGCGTCGCCCACCCCGACATCGCGTTCGTCTACGACCTGGGCGGAACCCCGGTGACGCAGATCACGAGGGAGAATGAGCGCAAGAGCATATACATCGGCATACCGCACAAGATCAAGGCTTACTTGGGTGACCCGGCGTTGAAGGTGGCCGCGACGAGAGTGGATCAGTTCTACAGGCAGACATTCTGGGCAAACGCCGCCGCGCACAAGGTGTGCATGGCCGCCCTCGCTCTGGCGAAGAGAGGGTTGAACGTCGACCGGCTGTTCTTCTTCTGGGGGGCCGGCGGCGTCGGGCTTTCGCTGACGACGGCCCATCTCGACGCCATGCTCGGCCACTCCAACCACAAGTATTTCGACCCGCAGGTGTTCTATCTTGACGAGAAGATGCGGAAGACGGTGGAGTCGCTCAAAGGCACGATCGTTCTCACGGCACAGGAGAAGCCAGAAGGCTTGAGGAAGAGCTTCCGGGAGGATTTGTTCAAGAAGCTGGCGTCTGCCGACGGCATCTTTGGTCGACTGCCGTATCAGATTTTGACGAAGGTTATATACCTGGTCGGATGGAAACGCATGGAGCTCAACAAGCTCATCACTTTCGACGGAGTCACTGAGGGCGCATTCCACGCCATCTACCGGAGGTCTCTTCTGATCAAGATTTATGCTAGGTTTGTCGACGCGGAGTGCATCAGGCGCGCCTTGCCGGACGCAGAGAAGTACGGCATCTTCCCGCGAGCGCCGGATCTGAAGCCGTTCATGCAGTCGGGGCCCGCCATCGCGGCTGGTCTGCAACGACAGCTGGGCTTCGAACGGAAATACGGCGAAGCCGCATCGAGGTCGCTGATAGATGACTACTGCCTGCGCGGAGGAGATAATGGGATCACGGAGAATACATGCGACAGGCGTGTCTTCTCTCGGAGCCGAGCAGGCCGAAGCCTGGCGGCCAGAGCAGCGCGGCTGCCCCGCCGCCCGGCGTCGACTTTGATGTCGGAGCGGGCGGGTCGCAGGATGCGGAAGAGCCCATGGCGCAGTTGCGCCGCCAACTCCTCCATCAGATGCTCGAGCGGAGCTTCGACGCCTTGACATTTTCATATTTGAAGCAGATGTCCACAGGGCAGATTCAGGGCCTGCCGGAGAAGAATCCGACGCTGTGGAAGTCGATGGAGGAGTCCGCCGGATGGTCGAAAGGTGGTTTGTATGGCAAAGCGAAGGACAGACTTTTACCAAAATTGTTGACCACTCGCAAGTTCGAGGATATTGTGCCGGCGCCGAACGTGGAGGAGCCGACCGTGCTACCAGAACAGTGGGACCGCGCGGCGCTGAGCCGCTACGCGAACGGCAACGCTTGTCGCAAGCACAACGTCGACATCATGATTGAGACCTTGGGTGCCGTCCCAAAGCCGCGCGGGCGGAGGAAGCGCGGAACGGAGCCCGAGGTTGGCGGCGACGCCCATCTGCGCTCGGTCGGCGCGTCCATTCAGGCAGCGGAGCTCGCCCTGGAAGTGTTGCTCGAGAGCGCGCGCGAGAGGCCGACCGTGGTGCCAGCCGACGCACCAGCGGAGAAGAGGAGGAAAATTGGTGTGAAGAAGAGCTTCAGCGGTGGCATCGACTTGGCAGAGCGCAGCATTCCCTACACGTATAAACGCACGGCGGCCCGTCGCTTCGCGGATGTTCCGGCGGCGCAGGGGTGCCCGGCGCGCGTGCTACATCCGATGTTGCAAGGCACCGTAGATCTCGACATCCACAGCGCTGTCCTGACCATCACTTGGCAACTCGTGGAGAAAATGGACATGGCCGACAAGAACCTGTTCAGCGAGGAGTTAGAGTTGTTGAAGCGGCTGGCCGAGAACAGGGACGAGGTACTTCGGGGCGAGTTGCCGGACATGGGGCCCGAGGCGGCCAAGCGCTTTGTACTCGAGATCATCGGCGGGTCCCGTTCTTTCGACGCCGATGCCAAGCCATTCGCCAAGAAGTTGCAGCGCGTGAGCCGCGTACTGCGCTGGCTGGCGTGCTCGGCGTTGCCGGAGGTATACGAGAGCTTCTGCCACGACGCCGCGCAGGGCGACGGCGAGAAGACAGAGAAATGGCCGGAGGGACAAACGTTCTCGACTTTCTACCAGCGCGCGGAGGACTACATCCTCCGCCAGTGGCAGACGTGGGCGCTAGCGCAGCCGGTGAAGCATTTGTCTTTGCAAATCGACGGCGTCAGGATCAGCTGGGACGCGGTGCTCGCCAACCATGCCACCGTGGCGGACTACGCCGCTGACGCGAGTGCCCACATCGCGAGGGAAACAGGCTTCATAGTCAAAATCACAGAGAAGACCCACCCGACGATCGCGGAGGCACTGACGAGCTGCGGGGCGTGGCGGCCATCGGATGCGCCTGCGGCGCCCAACGACCTACTGAGGCCCGGCAATGGTATTATGCTGGCGCTGTGACGATGCCGCGACGCCAGGGTGTCCGCTTCCGTTGAATCTTGCGCCAGCGCCACGTCCGTGGAGAACAGTGCTGCCAGCGTGGAGAAAGGGAGGACGTACGCGGAGTGTTGCCTGGCACACGGCGTGTCAATGATGCCGCAGCTGGGGTTCGATGCTCGCGAGCAGGGGCATTATCTTCTCCACATGGATGGGCGCGGGTCGCCATCGTGCGCACTCGTCCACGTGGGAGCGGAGCTCGACAAGGCGACGATTCATTTTCATGGCCAAGTCGGCGAGGTGAGTCTGGCAGAGATCCATGGTGCCGCCCTCGCCGGGCGAGACTCGAGGCTAGCAGTCGCGTTTCACATTAATTTGGCTCCGGCGGCGCAGGCGGCCGCCGAAGACAGCGGCGACGCCGAGCCCTTGGCAGCGCTCTTGAATATGATGGCATGAGGCCCGGGCAACGCATTCTGTTTCACCGATCCTCGCTTCGCCGAGGCCCGCGGGGCAACAGGCCCCGTTGCGTTGCCGTTCGCTTCGCCGATCCGCACTGCTTGCATGTTGGCTCACATCCAGTAGAGGAAATACAAAGTCAATCAATATTCGCATACAGTCATCACTATACTAGATATGACCTCATGCGTTTTCTGAAGAAACTTGGACAACCCGATTTACTGCGATGTTCTGCGCAGATCTGCCTTCACAGGTGTATCTGCGTGCCTTCTGGGGCGCCGCTCGCCGCGTCGGCTCAAGTCGTACGTGGTACGTGGGTCGGCTTTGCCGCCCTGTGCTCTCTTCGCTTCATAATTACCCGTATTTCACTGTGGGTCGGCCTTGCCGCCCTGGCACCTCATCGCCCCGCCGCGCGCTACCTGGCATGTGCGAAGCGCTCGCGGTTGTCGAATGTGCCGACCCGCGCGGAAGGCGATTGCAATGTGTTTCTGGGGTCAAACGCTCCATCGAGTATGTATCCGTCCAGCTTCTTAGTAGCACTGGCGAGCTGGGAGATGACGAGAGGCCCGCGACCCCGGACCCCTTCCTTCCTGGCGTCAGCAAGCGGCAGTGGGAGGCCAAGGTTTCTGCTTGGCGCAGGGACATGTCGCGACTTCTTGACGAGGTGCCGGTTGGTGCGACGGAATTGGCGGCGGCCGAAGAGCTCGGCGTCTGGGTAGAGCCTTCGCCGCCCGCCGTGCGCGGCTGTCGAGCTCTCCTACAAGATGGAAGCTGCATCCTGCTCGCCTACAGCATCCTGACGCAGGACTTCTGCGGCTGCATCGACTACTGCGCGCGATTTCCAGTTCCTCGGGGTGCGGAGCGTCGCTACGCAGACGTCGCCGACCACTTCGGCTTCTCTCTGACCGTCGTGCGCCTGCAGGCCTCGCGGCCGGGTGCGTGCTCACTCTTGCCTGGAAAATATTTCTGTCATGCGCGGGGCCACTGCTGCGCTGCGGCTGTTCTCCCAGGGGCCTCTTCGGCGATCGTGTGGAGAGGTTTCAGCCGACATGTTCTGCCAACGGCGCAGTGGGCCCGCCGCGTCGGGGAAGTCGAGGGCGCGCTGTTGCACATCACTAACAGCAGTGAATGCGCATTCGACGTCGATTTGACAACTGGACGGGGATCGCGGGAGACCGCGGCCGACGGGTGCTTCGTGAGCGCCGACGACGATCCGCTGGGAGGAATGGTGCATGGGGAAGACGCATCCAATGCGTGTCTCAGCTTGGCTCTGAATGCGTTGGGCGCACGCGTGCCGACCAGCGTGCAAGGCCCATTCCGCGCGCTCGAGCACGGGAACCAATGGCTGTCGCACCTCGGCCTCGCCCTGATCCAGCAGCCGCGGGGCCCGACCGGCCCTGGGCGTTACGTCAAGTGGGGGCCGCCGCGGCGCAAATCTGAACTGGCCGCGAGCGTCGGCCACTTCGCGGCCGTTATCCTGCGGCCAGGCAGCGCCACTGTGATTGACCGCCGAGCACGCCTGCCAGCGGTTCGCGAGTGGCGCTCGTGGGGCGACATTCCGGACGTCGAGGAGCACAAGTGGTTCGTATTGGTGGAGCTCGGCGCACAGAGGCCGGGGCCCGAGGGCGGCCGCCCTCTTCCGTGGGGCACGACTTCGGGGATCATCGAAGCTAACCGGCTGGACGCACTCATCCGTCGGCGCGCAGCTCGCGAACGAGCGGGCCCCTATGGGTCGGCGTCGTCGTCGGGCTTGCTCGCGCCGCAGGAGGCAGCCCGGGTATCGGCGAACCGAGAGGAGGCAATGCGGCGCAGATCTTTGCGCTTGTTCTGCCCGTTGCCGCCGGTGGGGTGGCCCAGCGCTCAGGTGCCCCAAGTTCCGAGTGATTTCTCCCTCGAGCTGCCGCGTCTTCCGAAGATCCGCCTACTCGAGCGACTCAACGCGCACCCTTGGGACGCCCAGCTGCACTTCGTCGAGGAGTCGCACTCCTACTACATTCGCGGCGTGCGAACCCCAGGTTTCGACGCTGTCGCAGTGATCGAGAAGATGCGGAGCGGGCGGAACTGGCCTCGACCTGATTATTTGCGCCACCCTCGCCCCGAATACGTGGTCGCAAAGCTGCGGACCATGCCGGAGGCTGCTTGCTTGCACGACTTACTTGTTTCGCACGGGGCCTGCGACGCCGAGATCTGCGCCGAGGTGAAGGCTACTGCGAGAGCGGCACCCCGCCTGGCATGCCTGATGGAGAGTTTATCTCTCTCGGATCAGGAGATCGTGGAGAAATGGCGCCTAAACAAAGAAGAGGCGGCTAGGCGGGGCACCTGTATGCACTGGACGTTCGAGGCCCACCTCAACCGCGTCCTGGTGCCCCGCGATGCCGTAGAATTCCAGTTGTTCTCGAAATTCTTGGGCGCGCTGAAAGGTCTGGCGGCTTTCCGCACCGAGTGGGCCATCTTCGCGGAGCACGAGGGGCTTGCTGGGTCAATCGACTTCGTGGCTCGAGACTCCGCGGGCAGTCTGTACATATACGATTGGAAGCGGGCGAAGAATTTACGTTCGAAGTTCACGAACCAATGGGAGAACATGAAGTTTCCATTGGGCCGATTGCCAGACTGCCAGGGAAATCATTACCGGGTGCAGCTTAACATATACAGGTGGATGTTGGAGCAGTACTACGGCGCCCGCGTGGCCGCGATGTATGTGGTCTGCCTGCATCCGGACAACGGTGACCAGCCATTTGTAGACGACGTGCCGGTGATCCCAGAGATCGAGGAGCTCATGGCCATTCAGCGCACGAGGTCCCGAGAGTTGCGGGCAATGGCGTCGGAAGACGCCCGCGAGATAGACCCTGCGGGCGGCTGGCGACGGCCAGTCGTGGCGGCGCGCATGCCTTATTGCCTGAGCACCGCGGCCAATTTCGGTCGTGCGTTTCGCCGGACATCAGTGGAGGTCGCGCCCTGGCGAGGCCGCGGCGACGGCGCGCCGCCCTCTTGAGGTGCCGTTGGAATTGCCGAATGCCGACTTGCAGCGGCTGAGAATTGCGCGCGTGGGTTCTGCGGGGGCCACGGTGACAGCCGCGTGCTCTCATGCCCCGCGGAAGTAGTGATGCTTTAGCATGAAGGAACGCATGGGTGCGACGCTAGGTCTTCTAAAAAAGGATATCCAATTCATATTCACAACCGCCAACGCGAGGAGGGAGCACCCAGAAACAGTATGCATTGCACGCCATCATCGCGCAGCGAATGCGGGCGCAAGTCGCACTGCCCAACAGGCGACGCGCGCAGAGTCCGCTCGGGAGTAGCATAGAATACAATTTTTCCCAGGCGCGCGTTCCGGCGAGGCGGGGGGGGGGGGGAATCAGCGCGGCCGCTTGCTTCATCGGCTCAAGATTATAGCAAACGTGGCTCGGCATTGCCGGCCTGTTTTGACTTCCCCGCTTTTTACCTGATTGTGGATCAGCATTGCTGTCCTGTGACCTCTCTTTCGCACTTCGGCGCCATGGCCACCGACGACCAGCGCGCTGCCGGTTCCCCGTTTCTGAGCCAGAACTCCCCTGAGTTCGGCGACCCGACTCCGCGCGGGAGGGCTCGCCAGCGGCGCGCTGTGTCTGGCGCCCGCTCGCTGACGCCTGCGCGCAGGAGGCGTCGAATGTCCTCGCGGGCTGCGCGCGAGGCTGCAGCGCGAACCCCATCCATCGTCTCCGGAAAGAGACGACGCCGCTGACATCGAGGCTTTCGCGCTGATGGTATCCCTGGTATCAGATGAAGTATGCACAAAATTCTGTCATTCTTCCCCGCCGTGCGTAGACGGACGCTGGCGCGTCGTTCTGCAGGGGGCCAACAGCTTCGCCCAGACAAAACGTTTGTACTGGTGAGGCCTCTCAGGTCGAGCAGGCCCAGGGCCTCGCGTGGCCCGCACGGCGCCGGACTGCCTGGAGTCCTTGCTGTTGTGCCTCGCTGGCTTCAGCCTGCCAACGCAGAACTTGCCTCGGTGACGGCCCCCAGCCCCGTTCACGATCGCTGTTTCATTTGCGGGTTGGATGACGGCGACGTCGACGGCATCGGCCACTATCTGGAGGGGTGCGTGGCCACGGTGAGATCATTTCCGTTCCCCGAGGTGACCCATTTGCGCGCGACGACCTCCGCGTGGGCAATGTTGGCGCCGAGATTGGAACCTCGCAGCGACGTCTTCGCATGCGCGCGGTGCAGCGGCGTTTGCGTCGCTTGGGAAGACACCCTGAACATAGAGTTCACGACCGAAATGCTCAGAATGCACAAGCGACAAGCAGCTTGAGAGCTAGGAGGGGCGTGGGCCGACTCGCGCCCGCGACTGGGGCTCAGGGAGGCGCGGCGGCGCTGACGCCATCGCGCGGGCCTCCGTCGAGCGCGGGCCGCGACTTTCGATCGACGCATTGCGCCGACACAAGCGCGATGTCTCATCATCTCCAGATGTTCTCCCCGCTTTCCCATGTGCCCAACGTGGCGTGGAGCCGTTATGTCGCTCGATGCACCCCCGTAGTCGGGCTCCTACATATTCGACGTCAGTGCAACTAATGAATCGCTGCTTACCTCTCCATCTTTCTCCGGCTCAAGACATGTGTTCATCGTGGGTCGGCTTTGCCGCCCTGTGTTTTCTCTGCCATATCACTTCTGGGTCGGCTTTGCCGCCCTGTGTTTTTGTTTCTCCCCGCCGCCCTCCTGCGCCATCTTACATGCACGGCGCACCCGCTCGCAATCGGCATGAAGGCGCCGAGGTCGCGCGCGCGCCGACTGGGAGACGGATCAGAGGCAAGAGAAAAGCCGACGATGTCGGCGAGGGCTGGGTGTGCCTCGCGGCCGAGCAGCGCGAGCCGCACGAGCTGACGGACGCGGGCTTGGTGGATGCTCCTGCATCCCCGAGCGGGGACGAAGGCGAAACGGCTGTGCGGACAGAGTTGTTTGATTGCCTGGAGAAGGAAGTTAAGGGCTTCGCCACGGGGGGCTCGCTCTTGCGCCCCAAGCGGGACAGCGAGGGCAAGTGTAGATTTGCTTGCGGCCTATGCCCGTTCCGATCGTTCTCGACGCAGCTGCTCTTACGCGCTCACGTCTCCAAGTACCACGTCAGGGAGACGCGCTTCGTGGCGTCTGGTACGAAGCAGTTCAACGTCGTGTGCGCGCTGTTCGATAACGACCGGCTCCTGCGAGCTCCAATCGGCAACCTGCTGAAGCGGTCTGCGACGACCATGCGCGAGACAGTATCTCCCGCTGTTCATCGCGGACAGAACGCGGTTGACAAAGACGTTGTCCTTGTTCTCGACGACGACGGGCCGTCGTATCAGAACAAAGCTGCAGTCGGGCGGAGTCTCGCGTGCAGACGAGTGGGGTACACTTACTATACCCGTGGCTTCGCGGACATAGTGATGCAGGAATCCTTGCGCCACCATGGGCGCGTTCGCCCGGCGATGCTGCGGACGTGCGCTCGCGTCGTGGAGCAGGGCTCTGAGTTGAGTAGCATGCTGCCGACGCACGTCGACCACTGGCTAAAGCTCATGGAAGACGTGTTCAACAGCGTGCACGTAGAGAAGCGCAGCGCTGCGTTGATGGAGGAATGCCGGAAACATGAAGAATTCCTCCACGTCTCCATGGACGCCACCATCCGCATTCTGCGCAGGGTCAAGGGCCAAGCAGACTATCGATCCTCCCAAGCAGTGCGAGACGCAGCGCCCGTGCCAGACGTTGACGCCAAGCGCCGCGCGCTGACCCTTGCGGGTCGGACGGGCGCGGCGCTCGGCGTTTTCTTGACTAGGGACGAGGCATCTGACGAAATAGCCGGAGCGATTGCAGGTCGTTGGTCGGAGGCGTGCAGATCGCAGACTGTGTCCGTTGCCAGCGACCAGCCGAGCAGCGCGTTATACCGCGCGTTGCGAAGCTCGTGCTTCTCCAACCTAGTTTATCTGAGCCTCGACCCGGTTCATTTGCCCATCACGTACGAGGAGACGCACTGGAGGAAAAAGACAGTGGGATCGAAGCTATTGCGCATAATCATGGTTAAGTTCACGAAGGTAGACAGCACGCTGCCGGCGCAATTCTGGGGGGCGCCGTTCGACGGAACGAACGCGCCAGTTCTGCGACCCATGGAGGAGCGCGCGCGACAGCAGATACTCGACCATTCTCTGTCGAAGCCGCGAGCTCAAAATGTGATTGACAATGTGAACGCCGAGCTGCCATGGAGAACGACGCATGAGTTCATTGAATCTATCGCCGCGTTGAGTGCGTTGGTTCCAGAAGAGCTTGCCCGTCGCACTCACGTGAACAACGTTCAGCTTAAGAGGTTGCTTTACAATGCTACCGCTTCAGCTCGGATGCAATGGTTTTTTAACAACCTCCGGTTCAGGCATTCCTTGCCGGCGGCGCGCTTAGCTCTGCTTGGATCTGGCACGTCGGTTAACGAATCCTTCAACCACGAGATCAACACGTGGTTTCGCAATCAGGGGGACATCTACGCGTCGACGGCGGAGCTTCAACTTAGAATTGGATTCCTGGGCAAGCTGCAGGCCCACTGTTGCGCGCTGTATTCGCCGACGCTGCGGCAGCTGCGACAGGCCAACGTGCTATCGCGAAGCATTATGGCTTGGGCTTTTCCTCGGGATGAGTGGAATAATTACTGCTCACTCCAGGCGCAGTGCGGCACCGACGTTCTGGCGCCTGCGCGACTTCCGCTGCGCGAAGCCCGGCAGAAGGTTGCGCGGCAGATTGCCGATCGCGCCGCGTGCGCGCAGGGAAAGCCAGCGGCGCGCGACGCCGCTCCTGCCGTCCAGCGCGGTGCTCAGAAGAAGCCCGCTGCGAGAGCGCTCTTGGACAGTCTTCGCGCTCGTAGGGTACCTCGGATCAAGAGAACAGTATTCACTTTGAAGCGCAGGCCTGCGTCGCGCGGTTTCTCTGGCCAGGCTCCCGCCGCTCGTGCATGTCAACGTTGACGAGTCCTGATTCGTCTTGTCTGCGTCGGTGTTAAAGTATTATGCTGGCGCCCTTTCCCTTTGTCGCCGCCCCCATCTGCCTCAGAACCAGGGCGAAGTATTGCATCTGTAGCAGTCCGTGGGGATCTCCGAGTGGTGGCATCGCGAGCCTCGCGGGGCCATCTTGAGGATGTGGAAGATGATAAGCAGCAGGAGGATGGGGGGGCAGGAGGAGGAGAAGGGCAACTCGGAGGAGGAGGAGCAGCATGAGAAGCAGGATCAGGAGCAGGAGGATAAACGAAGTAAACATTATCAACCCTCGCGCGCTTATCCGAAGCGAAAACATGAGGAGCGCACATTATACCACACTCGTCCCCTCACATATATATATATATATATATATATATATATATATGTATGTGTAATGATGTATGTACATAGTTGGGTGTGCATGCATGCATGCATGCATGTAGGGGGAAAGAGGGAGAGACAGAGAGAGAGAGAGAGACGGAAATGGTTGCGTCGCATGTTCCCTGCAACAGTGACGCGGTCCACGGAGGCGCCCGACCCCTGCTCGCGCAATGGGTTCCCCCCTTAGGACCAGCAAGAACCCCTGTGAAACTGAGCAAGGAACCCGCTTTAGGGCGTATGGCAAGGAACCTTGTTCTGGGCGTGGTTGAAAACATAACCCGTTTTTGGGAGTGGTTGAGAAATTAGCTAGCGAGCAAAGGTTCAGGGCACAGAGCAGAGGCTCAGTGCACGATCAGATTGGAGTTCACGGCCGCGAGGTCCACCTGGGACGGGGTTGCGGGCGTGCAGGAGCAGGAAGAGGAGGGGGGGGGGGTAGCGGAAGGGCAGGCGAGGACGGGAATTCGAGGAGAATCAGGGGCACGGGGGATGAGGAGGAAAGGTCGGGAGGACGAGGAAAACGATACGGAGTAGCAGGATGAGACGCATTAAAAGCAACAGAGTAGGACGAGGAGACTGGGGAGCATGAGTGGGGGAAGAAGGACGGGATCCCTAATACGGGGGAGGACAGAGAGGCGGCGGAAGATGGCTCGCGCCGACCGCTCGCTCCGCGCCAGGAACCGTTCTGTCGTCCTCATCGTCGTCGTCGTCGTCGTCGCCGCATTCGTCGTTGGCATCGTCCTCATCGTCCTCATCGTCGTCGTCGTCGTCGGCAGTCGTCGCCGCCGTCCCCGTTCCTCGTCGCTCCTCTCCCTCCTCCCGCCTCCCTTGCTTTCCACGCTCTCCCTCCTCTATCCTTGTCCTCGTACCTCCTCGTATCCCTGGTCGGGGGGCGGGGTGGGGCGGTTAATCCCGATCCACTGTCGTGGATGCCGTCCGACGCCGTTGAAGCTCTGAGCTGTAGATCGAATATTGTTAATGCTGATCCTCCCCATCACCCCCCACCCTCCTACGCCTCATCGTCCGCCCACCTCCTCCCACGCCTCCGCGTCCAACCACCTCCATCCCCGCTCATCTTCATTATCGTGATCCCTGCTCGTGTTGATACTTCCCCTCCGTGCCTTGCCGTAGTCATATTCTGCCTCTTCCTCCCCCTTCCCACCCGCGCCCCCTCTTCCTCCGCCTTCCCACCCACGCCCCATGCCCCTCCTCATTGTTCCAATCGCTCTCTTTCCCAAGCCTCCTCTCCAGTCGAAACGCGGGGTCCTCCTCGATCGCTGCGTAGTCGGCCAGCTGCCAGCCCGCCCAGCCCGCGGCCTGAGAGCGAGGGGGCGAGGCGGCTGCGGAGGAGGAGGAGGAGGAGGAGGAGGAGGAGGGGAAGATGCCGAGGAGGAGGAGGGGGGCGAGGCGGATGAAGATGATGAGGACGATGGTGAGTACGAGAACACAATGAGGACGAGGGGGGGGAGGAGGGCCAGGTTGAAGACGAGGAGGAGGAGGAGGAGGAGGAGGAGGAATGTGATGATCCTGATGATGGAATGGATGTTGATGATGATGAGGACTCGTCGTCGTGGCCGTTATCGTGGCGATCGTCGTCGTCGTCGTCGTGGTCGCCGTCGCGGTCGCCATTGTTGCCGTCATGGTAGTCGTCGTTGTCGCTGTTTTGGTCGTATCGACCGAGGTGGAGGGTCGTCGTGGTCGCCGTCGTTTTCGTGGTCGTGGTCTCCGTCGTGGTTTAACCGTGAACTTGAACAGACGTGCAACAAGGCACTTGAACAGCAGTCTAACCAGAAGTGCGAGCATAAATCTAACCAGAAACCGAAACCGAAGTCTAACCTGAAACTTGAACACTAGTCTAACCGTAAACTTGATCATACGTCTAACCAGCAACCCGAACAGAAATACAACACTAAATTTGAATATCAGTCTAACCATAATCTCGAACATAAGTCTAACAATAAACATGACCAGAAGTTCAACCATAACATTTGACATACGTCGTATCAGAAACTTGACCAGAAACCAGAAAGTTGGGAATACGTCTAACCCGACACGTCGACAGTAGTCTAACCAGAAACTCGACCAGACGTCAACCAAGAACTTTAACAAAGGCCTAACCATGCACTTGAACGGACGTCTAACCAGAAACTTGAACACACGTCTAATCATGAATTTTAATAGACTTCCAGCCAGACGCTCCACTAGAAGCCTAACCAGAAACTCGAACATAAGTCGAACAATAACCTTGACCAGAAGCCTAATCAGAAACTCAAACAGGAGTCGAACCACAAACTTGACAGAAGTCTGACAGTCAACTTGATCATACGCCTACACAGGAGAAGGATGAGGAAAGGTGGAGCGACGCTGTCATCAACCAGGTCGCCCCCGGCCCACATTCCCAAACACAGTTTAGAACGTGTGAGGGGGAAAGGAGGAAGATGAGGAGGAAGAGAACAAGGAGGAGGAGGGGGATAACAGGGAGGAGGAGGAGGAGGAGGAGGTGTAGGAGCAAGCGGCGCGGGTCCTGTCACTCGCGTGACTCGTGGCCCGCACGTCGGCCAGCCAGCGCCCTGGCGCTGTCCATCCTCGCGCGGAGGCGGGCTCCTCTAGGGCCCGTCCCTTTCCACCTGCCCTCTCTCGCCGTTTCATTCGCTGTCTCACTTCAGGGTATAGCCTTTGCGAGTTTCAACTGTGGATGCGGCCTATCGACCTCCGTCCTAGGATATGGCCTCTGGGACCTCTTGTTGATCCATTGGGAAAGCCACGTCTGAGAGGCGGCGGATGGCTGAGCAGAAGCGGTAGGAAAGTTGAGGAGGATGAGGCGAGAGCACGACGAGAGAAACGCGAGGACGTAATAGGAGAGACGGGGAGCAGAGGATAAGGGAGCCGAGTAGGGAGCATATGGGTCGGATCCGCCTGGCCCCCTTCGTGGGCGCGTTCCCGCCCAGACATTTCTTATGTGCGTTTCCCATGCTCTGATACTTCTCATGTTCGTCGTCGGCCTCATCACCCGTCTTCGCATCTTTCTCCTCCTTCTTCTCCTCTTGCTGTTCTGCTCTGCCCCTCCTGCCAATCGCGGCAAAAATGCTAATGGCCGCGACCCTTGTTGTTTGGTCAGGTTTCGTTCGGCCCCAGTCGTTTCTGCTGCTGTTGGTGGTGCACAGTCTCATTATCATTACCCTCCTCATCCTTCTCATCCGTTTCCTTCTTCTCATTTTGCATATGTCATCACAGCGACCTGTTACACCGTTGCAAAAGCACAGTTCTTTGATACATACGGGAGGAGTCGGAGCCTGTTGAAAATCGTGCGCTTCCAATTTGATTTGTGAGCGACAGCGGCGACCCCTGCTATTATTAAATTAAGGCTCTCGTCCAAGAATGTGCTGTAACATCTAGGATTCCCTTGTTTGGGGATATTAATTGTAAGATGGACGAACATGTGTGACTTGGGCTGAAAATCCTCACCCGCCTCGCCCATCAAGAAAAGGTGGCGCTTGCAAAGAAACAGTAAACGCTCGCAAGTCATTAACGGGACTCGAAACTCTGACTCTTTCAATATTTTGATGTACTCCAGCACGGCCTCGCCAGCGGCGAGCAGCCTAGCTCCGCATTGGAATCTGCCCTACTCCCTACGGAGGTAAGCTACAACCCATCTGACGAGAACTCCAGTTTCTGCAGCCTTTGCCTTAAAACCTTTCATGTTTCCAGACGCCCCGATCATAGACAAACTTAGCGTCGAAAGTTGGTACGACAAATCAATACTTTCACGCGTGCACCAAACTTTGTAGTCGTTGAATAACCGTTTCAACCCAGCTGCCCACAACGCTGCTTGTGGTGCGTCGATTCCCCGCGGGTTTGATTTCAGTACCTCCCACAGAACGGCATAAACAAAACGAGAGAATACTCCGAGGTATAATGTATGGAGTGTGTCTATATGCAACACAATAGCAGGACTCGTCCCAAGCTCGTGGGGAAAAAGTGGGCAACGGCGGTTGGTCCAATCCATTTTCCTATTTTTGTCATCTTTGTGACTCCTCCAGAAGATGCACGTGAATCCAAGAGGGGCCGTCTCGAAGTCCGCGGGGTTGCGCAATTCTGAAGACGGCTCCAACCGATCTCCACGTTGCAAGCCGAGCGCGGGGACGGCCGCCCCCAACATGCGCCCAACCTTTTTGGCCCTGTCGTAATGCAGGAGCCCTTCCAAGATCACTTGCTGCCTCGCTGCTTCCGTGTCTATCCGGATGCGGTGCTCACAACGTATGCATTCATTTTCGTACGTATCAGGACGTGCCCCCCAACCGTCATCGTCCAATGAGATGCCGTGGAAGTTGTACATGTTTGATGCATCGCAGGAGCACAGGAAGCACGGGGCGCGATGGCTTGACCATTGAGGCATCCCCAGCGTATGACAGAATTCAGCCCAATCTGCTTTGACTTGCACAAGAAGGAACCTTGCCGAGAGCGGGGCCGCGTCGGCGTATGGCGAGCCCTCGGGCCAAGGGGCCCCGTCCACTTGGACTGCAGGGCGCTCCCCTCGGGTCGCCGCGGCCATCGACCATCTTATGTGGTCCAGCACGCCCCAGTACGTATCCCACCCTCCGCACCCACATTTGCAAACTTCGTTTTTCGAGAGGACTGCGAGCAAGTGTCTCCTCTGAGTACATAAGTTATAACCTGTAAATGCAACAACATTGTCAGCTCTGCCTGGTCATATTGCCCGCGTGT